ATCAACTTAAAAGTACAACGCGCAGATGTGTGGCCACCCACGCTTTCGCATATTTCACAAGGATAGAAGTAATTTGTTTAAAAATGATTGTGTTGATTTCCTAATACGGTGCATACAGTTATAGTGCGAGACTTTTAGGCAAACTGTGGTAATATCTGATATCAACAATGAACCAAAGATGCTACCGTCGTCCGGGAACCTCAAACAAGCAACCCGCGAAGCTCGTGCAAGCTAGGGATATTCATTGGCCTGATTTATTTCCTAGGTTAGGTTGTAGCTCGAGAACCGCATTTCAAATAAATATGTTTTCTTACCAATAAGATTAGCGAAAAAGTAAAAACCAAGATACAAATAGATATTATTTGATCACGCTGAGAACGCAAGTCCAAGACCAATATTTGACCCGCAAGACGAAGACCAAGACAGTATTGCAAAACCCTTGAAAAAACTGCTTGCCCGAAATATTAACATCTGACAATTTCTCAATGACATTTGTTGAATGCTTCTGAAAATTTAAGATTCAAGAGATCAAGCGAATATTATGGCACTTTCTTGGAGGTTTTAACAAAATAGTTGAAACATTCTAGTTTTTAAACATCTATACTTGGTTCGTACCAAGTTTTCTGTGAAATTGATTTTAATAGTCTTTTCTTTCCTTCAGATAGGCTGGGGCATTTCTAAATTTGAACTGTTCCGTGTCAACATCAGCGCTGTCCTATTGTGAGGCTATGTTCTATTTTTGGATTTTAGGAAATTTTAGACTGATATAACAGATGATCAAAAGCATGAACAATTTAAAGCAAATATACCCTAATTCACGAATATCAATCACGGTAGGGTGACAGTAATATCTGAAAACGCCCCATATCGGCACAGGACACATAATTCTGACGGATTCGTCAACGTCAGGTAGTCCGAGCCGTATTTTTTGTTGTTTTTTTGTACGCCTTAGATTCATTTTGTACTTGATAACAGCTCGTCTATTTAGAAAACTACATTTGCATACAAACATAAAACGCTACAAACCTCAGTAGACGTCAAAGAGTGAGGGATACTCGTGAAATAGGGTATAAGTATTTGTAAAATAACCTCAAAATAGAGCTCTGACAATGAACAGTAGAAAACTATGAAAATCAAGGAGGCCATAAAGGGCGTGCTACAATTGTAGGAACGACTGACGATACGACCCTAATTGACTGTCATACTTAAACTGGTAGTAATGTACCTAACATTTTGCAGAGCTTCCCAGATATTCTCCATTATTTGATTTCATGTTTTAGAATCACATTTTCTAAACAGTTGAAAATTCTTTCATTATACGTAATAGAACATACGAGTATGGTAATTGGCTAGTGATGTCATCAAAAGAACCCTTTCAAATATGCTCAAGTGAATTATCACTGGTTTCAGTTTTATACGACCTTAATGCTAGTAGCTCTGAAATGTATGACATGTGACAATTTCTGAAGCCCGAAGTGGAAATGGAAGCAGAAATAGCTAACATATCAATATATTTTATATCTCAAAAATTACTTCTATAATAAATTAGTAGTATCTTACTTGAGCATGTTGGATTTAAACGGTTTTGTTAACCAAACAGCCAATCAGGATTCTTATGTTCTTTCAATTCAACTAAAATCATATTTTACTAGAGAAATGGAGTACTAGGTTTTTCACGCTATCTTGAAGCATTATAAAAATATCAATATAAGATTACTTTTTAATTATTATAATGTTCATTTTGTGGTACATATCAAAAAGACAAAATATACAAAATTTTACATGACTTGTTTTTTAAATTGTTGTAAATATTTACTAAAAAATTGTCAACCTGCAAAACGAAGAAAAGCAGTATGTTACGTAAATATATAAGGTTCTGTCACTTATTAGCGTATGCTCAGTTAATTATGGGACACTCTGCAGCATTGGAATATTACTATTAACCAAATCACATACAAAAGCTCTTATTCTAAATTACAAACCTTGAGCTTTATAACATTTATTTAAGTTTACAAATCGCATTAATATGAAAAACTGCAACAGCAAGACCAAGTCTTCGATAATCTTGCAGGCCAAACAAAGGGATCAGGCAAGTCTTAGCCTTGGTCTTGCGAAGCCCTATTGGTAGTGGTTAGCAGTAGGCGAGTATTCCCATTTACACTGGTTTACAATCCCTGTGACGCTTCAGTTGTACAGTGTTACAGGTAATATACTGTATTCAGTTATAACATGGGAAAACCAATTGTTTTGTTTACTGTTTCTACTGCACTATCGAATTCCAACGTGAGTTAAATGCAGCTCCTGATTTGTTGACATTAATGTACTGGGAAATGATCAGAATTAATGATTCCGAGTAGCGATGAATGTTTAGCTGATCAAGAATCTATGTAGTTTGATCGATTATAGATTCTTTGTACATGTTTTCACGGATACACGCCAACAATATTAATGAGAGAAGTACAATGCTATGCAAGGCATGCAGTGAGGAATGACGAAATTTGCCTTGATACGATCTGCTAAAAGTTTTTTGATATAGAATCGTGTCAGATCATGGTTTGTGGGATAGAGGATGGGGAATCGTAATATAATCGATATGGTCCTCAGGAAGATGTCATTTATTATTCCATTACTATCTGATTGTTACTTCCCTCGCCAATCGGCGAGGAATTGATGTAATCGCGTAAAATCTCGAAAATATGCTAATATATTTTTAAAACCCTTTTTACAGGGACCTCGGTTGGCCGCGTGGGTCAGAGTGTCGTGCTACTGATAAGCCGGCCGGCCGGGCCGCGAGTTCGAATCTCGCCTTCGCCATGGATGTTGTGTGTTTGTTTTAGGCAGCAGCGGTGGCCGCAGTAGTAGACTCTTCGGTCTCCTGATCAGCCGCCGTGCGCTGTGCGGGTTCGAGTCCCGTCCCAGGAGAAATGTTTCTCTTGGCCATGGATGTTGTGATTGTCCGTAGGTGGTAGATGGTCTCTGACTGTCGAACGCGGAGGTACCACCCGGCGGTTCTCGTAGGCGGAGCCAGAATGTGTGCATGTTGCATGCACACGTGTTCCCTCGCCAGAGTCCGTGTGGCGTCCCCCCTTTCCCATGTATCCCCCATAGCCCCACGGTACCCAATGGGTGCTTAGGCCTTAGGCCTTCGTGGTAGTTGGAGTATAAAAAAAAAACAGTCAGCAAGATGCAAGATAAATGTTGATCAGACGCATGCGCACGAAAGGCGCTTCCTGTCATTTTCTTGCAATAGTCTCGCATTACAATCAATTTTCTGCATTGTTCATATAACTTTCTCTACAGTTCTGGTAGAAAAGTTAGTAACTTACAAGTTATTAATGCATGCAAATGCCCCTAGGCTTGTCCGGTGGTATGTGTGTATGTGTATCTATATTTAACTATTTACAGATTTTTTGTGTTTTGATTTTGTATGGTCAGCAATTAAAACTGGTTTTTGGATATTAAAGCCATGTATTTTGAAGGATAAAAAACCCAAAAACCAAAAAGGCCAGGCTAGGAATGTGGCATGGAATATTTTGTTCGTTTAGGTCTTGTTTCAATCGAGGAAACAAGGCCGTCTTGCAACTGCAAGAGCTTAAATGCAATAGTCTTGCGGACTGTAAAATTATTTTTAGAGATTACATGTCATGTACATGACGAAAAACCAAGGCATTCATCACCGTAGGTGCATGTTTGTCCGCTAGTCCTTAACTTGGACAGAACCGCCCCGCACGTGTACTACGTATCTTGAAAAGTGACATTATGCCGATTTTTTTGTCATCGTATTGGTTTTTTGTGACATTATGTCGGTTTTTCTACAATATGTTAACTTAGCACTCGTTTTGTTGTTGTACGTGTTGCCGAAACGTCATGAGGCTTCAGCTATCAATGTTTGGCTCTGATGTGATATAAAATCTGCGTCAGACATGGCGTTACTGGAGGTCTAAGCTGTAAGTTGTATGTGTTGATGATAATTCCATTGGATTCTTGTCTCAAATACACTTACTTGAGATTCAAAGCTAGAAATTAGTTGAGCATCCACTTTTTCTTATCCATTCTGGAAATTACATATGCAAATTTACTGAATTTCAAAAATGAGAGAGATAAAATATTTCTCACACAGCAAATATCACTGATTTTATAACCATGCAGACAAATATACATTAATCATCCAGATGCCATGTTGATATTCAACCAACATTCTTCTCAGAGATATAAAAAACCACAGTCTACTCGGCTTCACAAAACATATGCAACCAACAATGCGTGTAGTTGAGTCATTTCTCCATAGATGGACGCTCTCAACGATCTTGGTGAACAGATGTGGTATGTTTGTACCCTAAAAACTACCTAGTCTGTAAGATGACATTTTATAGGTTTTTTTTTGGCCTTCTTCTAGGTTTTTACGTAATACCCGTGCGGATTTTGACGAAATTTTGATTTTAACACCAAATAATTAAAATAATATGTCGCCCCCTGAAAATGATTTCATAAAGTACTCTTCATACACGAATTTGAAGTTTCTGGAATTTAATAGCAGCGGTAGAAGCATAGAACTGTGAGATGTTGTTTCCATGGATGACATGTGATGGCCGGCTATAGGAATATGTTTTTCTGGCATTTGTATCAATAACTAGACAACCGCTGAAAAAGACCCTACATCAGAAGAAAGTTTAACAGAAAGCCTATCCGAGGGAGTAAATCACAAGGCGATCCATTTAAGCGTTTTGAGAAAAACAGCACCTAGCATTTTCAACACAGAAGGGTCGTGTTATTCCTTTATTTCTCTTTTGTCTAAAATTAAATAGAAAGTCATACAAACTGACGAACGTTCACAGCTCTTATATCACTCTTGCTGTGGAAATATTTACGAATACCATTTTTAGATGTTTCATAAAATGACTTTCCATTTTCGTTGGGACACCCTGTATATGTATATACCTTTCTTGACCTTTTTGTTAGGAGAAAACAAATGAAAACTATAGTGAGTAAGGAATAATTACCAATGTGAGTAAAACTCCTAACAGTATTCGCCCCCTTGGTGTTCCATCCAACCTTAGGGATGGACGCGGTGTCCAAAGGAAACCCCATCTGCTTTTCGTACATTTTCAGCATGGCTTCGGGTATGACCAGCTTGCTTCTATCCACCTTCGGCCTTGTCCTGAAGCCAAAAAGCGACATGAGGTTGCTCTCGACCTGATGCAGCACTTCTTTGGGGAGGTCTTTGGATGAGGATATGGTATTTGAGGTAGCCGAACTGCGCCGGCAGATCTGTAGCGCGGCGAGTATGGCGAACCATACGGCGCCGGCGCCCAGATTCATTTTGACAGGCTGTGGCCAGTCTGGAAAGAAAAAATTGCGTCAAATAAGTTAACTATACATTTCCTACGCATCTTTGTCATCAATTCATAAAGGATTATATTCGGCACAAGTGAGAAACATGTATAGTAAAAAAATTAAATGCAATTTTATGACGTTAAGGCTAGTTTCATCTCACAACGGTGCTGAACCACAGAGTCAATTAATCGCAGACACGCAGAAGGAACTTCATTTACTGCCTTTTTTAAATCGTAATGCCAATATATTCCTTTTATGGTTACAAGTATATTGATGTCAATATTAAAAACAGTGAATGGAGTTTATATTTGTAAATTTGTAAGTACTAGTATAATCAGCCCAACTAACAATTATCACTCCTATTAGAGTTGCAAGAATGGGCACACCTAATAGGACACTTCAGTCATTTAAGAGGTTAAATAAGGGCTGCAGGTAACAGTTATAAAACAAAAGTGTAAGCCTCTTGCAGCCGCTATAGGACATTTGCGTCAGTGCAAGATTCAGTTTTTGTCAACTATGCAACTATTCTGTTACGTGATTCTACTTTATTGCAACCAAACTATTTCTTATGTATTGTATAGACGAAGTGAAGAATATATAACTAACACATTACTGTCATCTTGTTTACTTACATATCGGCCATTGTGAATTTCATACACAGGTATATGATAAACTTCTACACTATGATATAGGGCTATTGAATTACTTGCGCAGCGAATTTTATTGTGATTATCGTGCAAATTAGTTACACAAGTTCTACGGGCTACGTATTTGATTCATATTTTGACAATGATCAAAAGTATGTCTAGATTTTTAAGATGGAAAACTGAACTTATCTGCGTTAAATCTTCCACAAATCCTATATTTAGACACAATTACACTAATGTTTATCACTTTATATCTGTAATTTCCAACTGAAACATAATTATTTAATATTAAATAGAGGAATAAATGTTTGCCCAATATGGCGGGTGGTTGTGTACAATCATGGCATCGTCTATGTTGTCTTTAGGTTATTAGAATATTTTGGTCAAATGTCTGAAATGCAATACCGACAGAGTCGAATGATTTACCCAGAATTTGTACCAGATCTATATCTTCTGTTTGAACAGTTGATACAACCTTTTGAACCAATATGCATGCGTTCTTTGTCTTACAACATTGATTATGGCATTTTAGCATTTTACAAAAATATGACAGCAGAAAGTTAGGTTATTGTGAAGTTGTTTACCGACATATTTAGCATATCTACAGCCTTTAACCGTTACTAAACAACAGTTGTATAAGTGCTTCCGTTGGGAGAAATTTGTGGCTAAAGTAGAAAATTGCACAGCAAAACAACAAGGTTCGGGTTTGTTTTATAAACGTTACCATGGATGCCACAGCACAACCATTTCGACTAACGTGCAATTATGCCGTATAAAATAGTTGTATAAACGTTAATGCAACAGTTAAAAATTTGCCCTATAAGGTGTTCTATAACTATGTTATAAGAATATTCTAAGCACTTCATTTTAGAGCAAATATGTTGCAGAAAGCAAATCTGCATTCCATACAACATTAAGCCATCATTTTTGTGTTCAGGCAACAACAATAGAGAGCTTTTATGGCTGAACGGTTCTTTTACCAAAAGCTTATACCACTACTTTGCTAGTTGGGCAGTATTTCCACAAAAAATTGATAGTCCTATATTTAATTTCCATACTTTTATATATTGCTTCTCAACCTTTCCAATAATAAAATACCTAATGAAAGTTCGCACTAACGGTTTAGTGCACTCAAGGTTCATATGAACTTATTGCAAGGCCTTTTCGTGAAGCTTCTCGTGAAACATAAAATAATATGGAAATACATAGAGCTGCTCGTAAGAGCCTAGAGAAAAGATTCAGGAGCTACCAGAGAAACAAAGCGGTCAATTGCATTCAAAATCCGTGAAAAGGAGTGGAATCTGAAGAACTATGAATTCTGACCAAATCCAAGGCCTTGGTTTTTCCGGAGCAGTTTGAGAAAGAACAACAAATACATTTGTGTGCGGTACATTATTTTTAACAGGCTTTTATTAGCTTGGTCTGTATGTATGTAATTGATTGATTTGAAACTTCGCACACGTATCAAGACCAGTCTCAATGCAATAATTTGATAACAGTTTTCCAGTATCGTGTAAAATTCTGTAAAAAGCAGATATGTTAATAAAAATCCACGGATTCCGAATGCCGCTTTACGAATTCTAAAACTACAAGCCTCTGTAGCTCACTGGCAGAGCACTGGGTTTGTAAACCAGGGCTGTGAGTTCAATCCCAATAATTTTCACCAATTTCCAGAAGTTTGATTAATTTGAAACTTCACACACGTATCAAGGACCGATGACAATGCAATAATTTGATAATAGTTTTACATTATCCTTATTAGGACCGCCAGGATTGATAAATTCTTTTATAGATCCTCTGTAGGGGAGAAGGAGAGATAGAGCAAGCGCGCGATCTGCGCATGCGGGCAGTTTCGGACTTACTCTTTGTTGGTTCGGGCACTCGGCACAGCACAACAGAGGCAGATACTTTTCCAAGGCAGTGCATTCTCACTTTGTTCATTGCGAATGTTGCCATTAATCCTGAGTCCACAAGATGCCAGGTTGTACAGCCGATCATGCAGTCATTTATCTAGGCTCGCGACTGTTTGCTGCTGGACAAGCTTATGTAGCACCTGGTCGTGTAGTATCTTTAGACGGTATTCGGATTGAAGAACTTGATTGCTCTAAGTTAACAGTGAAGCTTTAAATGAAATAATTAGATTACGAAATGATTCGTGAGACATTTCAATACCACATGTCGACAAAAAACTAACTGATAAATAGAACTAAAAAATGAAAAATAAATAATAGTTAAAAAAACATGCTTTTATAGCTAACCGAACTAAAAAGTAGAAAATAATTTTTAATTGCAGTAGTAGATGTTCGAAGAATCAATCATAATTAATGACCTCAAAATAAAATTATAATAAAATTTAAGTTATTAACAGAATAATTCAATTCAGAGTAAAAAGAGTGGACTGTATTTTACTACATTTTCATAACTCTTCTCTCACTGATAGTTGCCAATAGAATGATTGTAACATTTAATATATCAAGCACCCCACGCTTCTGCTACTGTAATATAAATTCATTGTAATTAAAAATTATTTTCTACTTTTTAGTTCGGTTAGATATATAAAAGCGTGTTGTTTTAGTTTTTTAAACTATTATTTATTTTTCTACGCAGGACACTCCAAAAGAAATAGTCAACCTACTCGCTTTTTCCCTTTCATATATACGCAAAAAGTACAGTTGATTGTATGCATGCATGCGGTGTATTTCTTGGCAGACCGATCCACAACAACAATTATTACAGGAGCAACAGCTCGACGTACTCTGTACTGTGGGAAACGAGACATAATATACAGTGCATAAATACATATATCCGGTATTGCTTCTTAAAATATCTTGACTTTTTAATGCTTACTCATAGATATTTATTGTTATAAGTATGTTTAAAGAATGTGAACATTTCTCAAATGAGAATTCCAGGTGTGAGATCGCTCTTTTATTTCCATTTTCTTAATTGCTCTACTTTAACAAATACCTTGTAATGGAGTATTTATTACAACCTACTGATATCAAGCATTTCACATTTACAAGATATTTTAAAAGTCATTTTGCATTTTTAAGTGCCAGTTAGTCCGAGAACTTATTTATGCATGACGAAATGTCCATCATATGTTAACATCTTATATATGCTGAGGATATGAAACTTTTCTGTAAGGTCGCTAACATTGACGATTGTCATCGCTTGTAATGCAACATTGTAAGGGTTGACAACTGGTGTCGTGAAAACAGACTGGTTTTGAATACTGCTAAGTGTCTAGTTTTGCCGTTTACTATAAAAACAGGGGTAATGATGTATGAATATAGTATTGGTGACAGGAAACTTGACAGACCTAATACAATTAATGACTTTGGAGTCACATTTGACAGAAAACTTTCCTTCTCCCATCACATCGAAAATGCTGTTGTAGCTGCATCAAAGGCGTATGGTTTTATTGTAAGAAATACTGGTGATTTCCACAACTCCTTTACACTGAAAATACTGTACTATGCTTTTGTAAGGTCTAAGCTTGAGTATGCGTCCCTGGTATGGTATCCTCATCATCAAATATACATATATTGACCGCTTAGAGTCCGTTCAATGAAAGTTTTTAAAATACCTCATACAAAGCTGACGGGATATATGCTATTGGCTTTCCTCATAGTGAGTTGATGATGAGACACAAAATCTATAATTTAGAGAGCAGACGCAAGAAGAATTCACTTCAGTTCACTCACAAGCTCATCCATGGCATTATTATTGACTCCAGTGTCATCTTAGAACAACTTAACTTCTTAAGTCCTAGATTAGCGTCACGATCTAGTTTAACTTTTTACTTAGCCAGGCCTAGGACTGACATACTTAAGTTTTCCCGTATCTATATAATGTGCCGTAACTATAATTCAGTTAATAGCGTTTTAGATATATTTTCGTTTTGTGCGACTTTGGGACATTAATGCTATTTTCGTTAATGCTTGCCGGTGTGATTGTTGAGTGCTGGATAGGTAAAGCTACAACGCTTTTTTTCCTCGCAGTTCTGTTTTGAGTTTTTTTTTTGTAGCGTTTTACCTTTCTCTACATACATCCACTACATGCATTTGTTTCTATTTTCATGTTTATCCATCCTGTAATTGGCTATGGCTGTTGGATGATGCTAAGTAAATAAACATCTGAAATCTCCGGATATTAAACAATTAACCGCGTCAGTTGGATGCAAACCTCTTGTGAGATGCTCAAAATTAATTAATGTTGAAGATTGATGCATAGTATCGTAAAACTATTACCAAGAATTAAGCACTGGTAGAAAAATGTTGAAGCAATGTCTAGACGCACTTGCCATCTCATTCAAATCTTCAGAGTTGTATGGACAACCTGTCGATTTTACATCC